GCTGACTTTCTCAAATTTCCTTGTTCTCTCTGTTATTTTAACCAAGATAGGTAATTCAGGTTAGCAATTCTGACTTAAGAACATTTTTAATCTGTGGACATAGAAAACACATTAACCTCAATAATTGATTTACATATAACCGATCTTGTCAACAGATGCAATCAGTTAATTGAAAAGTCTGATGAACACGTCCACTGTGAGCTTAGTCTGTTGAAGCTGGTGCCAGTGCTGTGACAGATTTGCAACAACAGATTAAAGTTGGATGGATGGAGCTGTTATCATTTCCCCCACTCAGTTGCCCTGTCCTGTTAAATGATGCTGCTCTCTCCATAGTAGGGTGTCTAATCCACAGGGAATCAGGTCCTGAACTGGCACGGATTTTGGTCCAGGATAGTAAAGCAAACTGGACTCTCAGGAGCAGCAATCACTATGGTTATCCTATATAAATTTGCTACCACAAGTCTGTCAGAGCCTACAGTAACAAGATGTGCTAACCCAGTGGAAAAAATATAAAACTACACTATCAAATAGTTCCTTAAAGAAGAGAAAAGGCTACCATTTGCTGACAACAGAGTTTGCGAAATATGAATTAACATGGCTCTGCTGTACCTAACCTCAAATGACCTATCTGAAGACTAAATGTGTTCTTGTACAAACACGCTCTATGTGGGACATGCAGGACCCTGTCATTTCCTTTTCTGTAATAAAGCAAGGAAACATGAGATGCACCGACCGACAAAACGCTTGCTTTCGTGTCAGCATGTTGCCTTAGCTTGTGCAGATGCATGGGGTGCCTTGTGATCAGAGTTAAATGGGACCAGAGTTGTTGAAATGAGGGCTAGGAAAGAAGCATGACTCTTTTTTTCTGGCTTCCTTGCATATGACAGCTTGAACATTATTCCACGATAAGGCCAGGCCTGACTTGTCAGTACGGTGGCAAAGAGTGTGAAGAGGAGACATGATGTTCGATGTTTACAAATTATCACCCAGGCCATAATTAGGGAGAATGAAACTTGTAGGAAAACGATTGCTATTGGGAAGCTGTTAATTGTACACAAACACTCAAGACCAAGCCCGGCAAGAAGCATCAGCCGTAGCACTTGAGGTTGCCAGGCACACTAATATGACACATCATTACTAGCCACTTGCAACGGTTGACCAAAATCCATTTTCTCATCAGTTATACAAGTTAGTGTCTGCTGAGGGATGGAAAAATGAGCACATCATGACACAGGCTTTGAAAATATCTCTTACAAAAGAAATAATCCATCCACAGCTATTGCTTGCTGATAGTTATCACAGGCCAAAGCTTACAAGTCTTCTGTAGACACATGAAAGACACACTGACACACAAGTCACGGGAAGGTCACAAAAGAATGAACAGCATCCATCATTGAAACCAAGTAGAGAAACAAAGGGATTACTTGTTTTCCTTTTGCAACTGATAGGCAGCAACTAGTTCTTTGACTTGACTCAAAAAGTGTATCTATAGCCTAAGTATTTTGGTTCTAATTCAGCAAAACTCTTTAAGTGCTTAAGTTCAACTGAAATTACATTCTAGTATGTGCTAAGGACAACTGGGACTATAGGACTTTTGAAGAGAGGTGGGACTGAATTTTTAATTCTCCAAAGTTTTCCTGCTTCTTCAGGATGTATTCAAGTGAGGTGTGTTTGCAATGACCTGGCCTGGAGCTTACAAAAAAGCAACTCTGTGCTGCAGGCTGCAGCAGTGGAATAGGAAAAGACCCTGGGCCAAATACAGATAAAAAGAGGCACCAAATATCACGGGAGCCTCATTGAGGAACAGTGGAGTGTATACGATGTGAGGACTGTGAAAAAACAAATGGCTAAAAAAAGGAGTTGCTCACTGTACTCTTCACATAACTCCTATGTCCTCCCTAAGCTATAAATGTCTCACAGTAGAGCATGTGTCTTCTGATTTCAGGCAGCTTAAGGAAAGATACACAGTGTGCCGGAGACATGCATTGTGGGGAACCATCTTTCCTAGAGTTGCCCATAAATCTGAGCCTGAGCTTCCCATAGGTGGGAATCAGCAGGTTTCTCTCTAGGAGGACGCATGAAACACCTCAAAAGCATACAAAGGAAGACACAATGATGGAGCTCAGATATGAAGGCGAAGATGACTTAGTTTTCATTTATTGCTCATATTTTCCTTCCTGTAGTGGTGAAATACAGTACCTATTATTCCTGGCATCCTTTGCATCACACTGAATCCCACCCTTGCTCTTGCTGTTAAGCTCTTTGCTTTGGATCTCATTTGCTAAAGGAGTCTAACGAGGAATTTTCTGTCTCCAGAGCACAGATTCAAACCAGCACTGTTTTATCTGCATGTAGGCAGAGTAGCCTATCCAAGGAGACTGGCCTCACATCCCAAGATGTGGTTTGAGGGAAAGAATAAGTCAGACTGTATTTATGGCTCTAAATCCCTCTGCAGCGCACACTGGTATTTACTGTTGAACAGCTAGGGATCCTCGCTTTCAGACACTGGAAGAATGGGGAGGATTGTAAACTGAAGACTGAGGGGCATACTGGGTGGGAAATCTATTTGGGAACATATTAAAACAAGGACATAGCACAGAATATACTGCAACAAAGTAGGTGCCTGTCAAGTAACCTTGCATCTTTTTTCCTGTACTGATGGTTGATCATCCTCATCCTCATCTTCATCTAACTATTGTCCCACCTATTGTTTTCTCTCTCCACTGCAGTGTCATCTCTGTTACTTGGGTTTAAACTCATTGCAGTAAACAATATACCTGCCTCCACTTTGTGTCAGAAATAGAGCACTTTCGGAATTTTCTGCTTAATCTAGTATTTGTCAGAACATGTTGACTTGTCAGAAGTGAATCTTCAGGAATGTATCAGTGTTAGCAGTTGCTTGGGTGGAAGTGCTGGCTGAAAGGAGGCAGTCGGACCAGGCTCCCACTCCTCCCACTGCGGGGACCTTCGCTCAGCACCGGCAAGGCAGGGGCATGAACACGGGTGTTCTTGGATTGGGTGTGACTTCTGGGTGTTTCACACAAACTTTGAAAGCTCTTGGTTTCATTCGAGCACAGAGCAGGAAAAATTCTGTAATAGCAAGAAGTTTCAGAGGATGAGAAAGCGGTTTCCTGCCCTATACAATATAGAAGTCAGCACCTTGTGTACTGGGGCTATTTTCTAATTGTAGCAATATCCCTGCTCTTTTTTCTTTTCTTTTTCTTTTAAACTTAAATTCATGTTTGATTTGTTTCCAGCGTTCTGTAATCACTAATTAATATCAGAAAATGTTGTTGATTCGAAGGAAGATCTTCATTTCTCAGTACCAGAAGTGTGACTTGTTCTTACCAGCTAATGCTTGCAAATAGTCTGTGTTTCTGATTTTTATCCCCAGCTCTCAATCATGATTCTTATCAGGTAACAGGGAAGAACAATTCTTTGTTTCCAAAACCTATTATTTTGTGTAATTAATGAGGTAAGCCACAGAAAGAGTTTGGTGGATGCTGAAATAAAATGTCACAAGGAACACAGGAGAATTATTGATGGATTGTTTTAACCAGTCTAGTGAAAACACTGAATTTATACACAGCTGAAACAGCTCTGGTCTATAGTCAGCTTTCCATTTTGCTGAAAGTCTTAGTGAAATAAAAAGTCAATACAGAGATCCTGGTTCCTATTATTAGTTTGTAATTTTCAAGATTGTCTATTTAAAATCCTTTCAGTGGTCATAAGCATTTCTCTATTAGCAACAATCGCTTAACTATAGCCAAACTATAAGTATTTTCCCAAAGTATGTGATCATATTGCTGTTAGAATGCATAATTGTTTTCTCCGTGAAGAAGCTAAATTTGGCTTAACAACTGTGTCATGGCATTAACAGAAAATGTCTGGTGTGACAGGGCATAGCATGGACACTGCATGGAAACGCTTGTAACCACAGTTCATTTAATTGATCTTCAGAGGGGGCGAAATATCACACTAGTCATCTGCCTTTGGTTTTTCAAGCCACATCAAACAATTGTGTGGAGAAGTGAAAAAAAGAAGAGCGCTAGGTTTTTTTGATTTCATCAGTTAATGGCTGTAGGTCACTTGATACCCCTTTGTTTACAATACAGTGATACGCCTGTATCTTGTAAAGGTTCACCAGAGTGACTTACTGCTGTGGTACAGGGCCTAAAATAAAACTTGCACATGCCAGGCACCACATGATGCATAAAATATTCTAACAATATATTACAAAACCTTGTCAACACTAGGGAAAAAATGGCTATTCCAAGAAGTAGAGCTGGCTGAAAAAAAAAAAAAAAATCTTTATTCCAAACCGGGCCCTTATGAAAGACAGTGATTTGGAGAGCTGGAGGGAGGGAGGGAGAGAAAGGGGTTTCTTCCTTTGGTCTGGTGGAGAAAAGTCTCTTCCTTGGTTAATCAAAAATATCAACAGAATAAAAGAGGCCACGTCCAGCTCAAATCTTCACATTATTTCATGTCTTTCCTATTTCTCATTTTTGAGCAGCTGTGCTAAGAAACAGCTCAGCCCCTTGAGGAACACGCCAAATATCTTATATCCACACACTGAAGCGCTACAACTGCTTTGCATGCAGTTGTGTCCTGAGTGTCCTGAGCAGATTTGCTTTCAGCTACCTGTGCACCATCATCTTCTAAACCATATCAGTCGGCTGGTTCAATGCCAATGTGAAACTAGTCATCTCTCTTCTGCTGCTGTACAACACACCGAGGGGTCTTGCAAAATTCATCATAAGAAAATCCTTCTGTGAATTGTTCTGAAAGCAGTGAAATGAGTACCCACAAAGAACAGTAATCGTAGCAGTTGCTAGCGTAAGACTATTAATGACACTACTGCAAGGTTACAACACTTCTTAAACTGAAATAGTTCAGCTAATACATGCAGCCTAGAAATGGATTTCTGTTGACTGATAAACTGATGTTTTAGTACATGAAATATAACCACTCTTTCCTTTAAATATATTTTGACAGATTAAATCTCTGACAATGAAGCCTTTTACTGCATATCCTTCTGGGTTTATCGTATTCCTATTTGCCTTGCTGCAGCGGAGCCATGGACAATGCAAAGAAGCAGCTAAAAAATCAGAGATGAATTTGAGTGTCAAATATGATCTTCCCAACTTTATCGCAGAAACACCGATTCAGAATGTAGTTTTATACAAGCATCATGTTTATATTGGAGCAGTCAACAAGATTTATGTACTAAATGAAACTCTCCAGAACATTTCTGTGTACAAGACTGGGCCCATTTTGGAGAACCCTGACTGCACACCATGCGAAGACTGCAAAGATAAAGCCAATTTATCTAACAGCATGTGGAAGGATAATGTCAACATGGCACTGCTCTTAGAAACTTATTATGATGATCAGCTCATCAGCTGTGGTAGTGTGTCTGGAGGCGTCTGCTACCGTCACATCATTCACCCTGACAACCCTGCTGACATTGGAAGTGAGGTGCACTGCATGTATTCACCCCGGGTGGACGGAGAAGCCGATAATTGTCCTGACTGTGTTGTAAGCACTTTAGGAACCAAAGTTTTGGTGACCGAAAAGGACAGGTTTGTCAACTTCTTTGTTGGAAATACTGTGACATCTACATTTCAGCCTCCTCATGTGCTGCATTCAATATCGGTCAGAAGGTTAAAAGAAACACAGGATGGTTTTGAATTTCTCACAGATCAGTCTTATATAGATATCCTCCCTCAGTTCCGTGACTCATATCCCATTAGGTATGTCCATGCCTTTGAAAATGATCACTTTGTCTATTTTCTGACTGTCCAGAGAGAATCTCTCGACTCCCAGGCTTTTCACACTAGAATTATCCGCTTCTGCACTTTAGACTCAGAGATGCGTTCTTACATGGAAATGCCTCTTGAGTGTATTTTTACTGAAAAGCGGAGGAAGAGGTCCATCCGAAAGGAGGTATTCAACATTTTGCAAGCTGCCTATGTAAGCAAGCCAGGGGCAGCTCTAGCCCACGAAATGGGCCTTGGGTTGAACGATGATATTCTCTACGGCGTTTTTGCACAAAGCAAACCAGACTCTTCTGAACCAACCAACAGATCTGCTGTCTGTGCCGTCTCCGTGCGAACCATCAACGAGTTCTTCAACAAGATTGTCGACAAGCAGAACATGAAATGTCTCCAGCACTTTTATGGGAAAGAGAGCAAATACTGCTTGAACAGGGTAAGTGACAATTAATTTGTTACATTCTCTCATTTTCTCTTTGCCTACTCCATTGCCAGGTAGCAGTCCCTTCAGTTTCAGCTACAAAATATAAGTCCCTGATCCTTTCAGATTACTTAGCATTGCTGATGATTCATCTCTGTAAGGATTAGTTCATGTAAATTGAGCATGAAAATCACTGAGGTCCTTATGGTGCTAAAAAAGTATTAGTGGAACTGGGGAAAAAAGTACTTTTTTTTTTAATTTCTAGGTAATTGTTTTTCTTGGGAGACTGTGATGCAAATAAATGGAATATTTAGGCAGTTATTTATTTTAATATCTCAAAAAAGTATTCATTAACATTAGTATCCATGTGCACTGAGGAGTCCCTGAAAATATCAGTCATATTTTCAACTATGTTAATGCTGAATCACTGCCCTCCTTAGAAAAAAAATGAAAGAGCTGGTTTGGCACATGCCATGAAGAGCCAGATTGTAATACAATTACTCATGCTTGATACATAAATGGTCCCACTGAAATCGGTTTTCTTAATGAAAGAAGTGCCTATGAAAAGGGTATCTGAATGAGGATACCGGTAGTCTCGGGTGGGAGGGTTGCCTCTCTGTGCACCATGTGTTCAGGTGGCTGCTGCTTTCCAACCATCGAAATATTGTATGTGAAGGAAGCACAGAAGTCATTTCTTCCCTTCTGGCCAGTGTCTGTGCTGGTGTCAGTTCTTTTAAAGGAAATACAGAATCTGGGAATCGGGTACTTTTAACATTTATTTTGAAACATGAAGCATCAGAGCTTTCAGTTGTACCTGCTTATGCAGCAGGGCCTTAAATGTCCTCTCTGGGGAGCTTTCTTTTCTCAGATACAAGAATATTGGAGCTCCGAGGTGGCACACTGTCCTCTACCAGAGGGCAGGGCCAGAGCTCTTATGATGGGGCTCTGCTCAGCCTCGTGAGCCAGGATGAGGCCTGTGTCAGGATGGAGCAACAGCTCAACCTGCATTTGGGGCTGGATGGGATCCATCGTTCCCCATTGTTGGGTTGGCTCCTGGTGAGAGTGGGAACCACAGGCCTTCATCACCCCTATGCCACCAGAGCCTTCCTCAGCACGGCTGCCCAGCACAGGAACTGGATGACCTTTGGAGATCCCTTCCAACCCAGACCATTCTATGATTCTATGACACCAGGACAGGGCAGTGGCACATGCCCTGTTGGAGCTGGGAGCCTCTTGCATGCAAGAGAAGGGCTGCTCTTCACTCCCTGGGGTGAGACAGGGTGGTCTGGGGAGAAGCATCCATTACAGAGCTGCTGTGGCTTCTCCCCAAAATCGGAGGTGGGGTGACCGAGTCTGAGCATCATCACAGCAGCCTCAGCATTCAGGGGACGACTGCTTATCGCAAGCTCCAGGTGTTAACACAGATGTAGGCTTTGCTGGTGGATGCTTATACAGCAGCCACAACAGACGTAGCATTTTATTCCTTTTTTTTGGAGAGAAAGGCGATTTTCAGGAAGTAAAAGCAAGTTAGAAAACTTTCAGCACAGTTAACTTGTTATCTTTCTTCACTGTGTTATTTTTCATTTCAGGTCTTAATATCTTTTTTTTAAATTTTTCAGTTAGTTTTTAACAATTAACATTGTTCTTCTCTGAAAGTACCTTTTTTCCTTATTCCTGGGATGTTTTAGTTGTGAGTTACTGTCTTTAAAGCTTGTGGCCTTTAACTTATCTCATTCTATACTTGCCTATACACCCATTTCATAAGGTGATCTTTTCATAACAAAGTATATCATTAAAATATTGACAGAATAATTTGCCATTTTTCACATGCTGGGAAGTACTTTCCTGTTTCAAAAGCTTTCCCAGAGTCTGCTGCTGCTTTGCATATCAGAACTGAATGTCTCATACTGCAGACAGTTTATTATAGTTGCCCATTTTCAAGAAATGTCATCAGAACTCTGATTTCTGCTACATTAAATTGATAAAGGGAAAACTGTTTCTGTGATTTCTTGTGGTTCCTTTAAATGGCATAAAGGCAGTCAGAAATTTTTGTCTTGATTGTTTGCTTAACACTGAAATATCAAGACTGTCAAGCTTTGCCATTCCATTTCATTTGCTTTATTCCAGAGGACTCATTCAGGCTCCAATAAAAAGTGTCCTGTGAGTATTTTCAGGTTTCAATCGGCCAAAAAGATTGGCAAGAATTTGCCAGGCATCCTTTTTACACCCATTTTTCTCAGGTGTGTAAAATAGACCTGCAAGGTTGGAAGGTGAAGGAAGTGAAGGAACAGGCAGAAGAAGGAAAGCACATTATTTCTTATGCTTGTGTCAGGAATGTCAAATCTGGTCTTCCTTGATTTTGCTGGTGATAAAATAATAACAAAAAAAAGAGTCCCAAACCCCTCAACTCTTCTTAGGCCCTTTTTTATACATTATAAAAACATACACGAGGGCATAACCCATTTTTCCCCTTTTGTAAGTCACCTTCAACTTAAAGCTTTTATAAACTGTGAGAGTTTGTCACAGTTTATTTTGGCAAAAATCAAAACTTGCATTTTGCAATGTAGCCAAGATGATCTTTCTCTTTGATGTTGAGAGAATAAAACCACAGACCACTGATGCAAGTGAAAGGCACTGACCACTGTGAGATTAAGTCATAGGACAGTGAAAACAGTACAGCAGTAAATATGGTATACCACTAACTTCAACATTAAAAAGAAAAATGAGCCTTTAGCAATGTTTGTAAGAGAGTGCTATCAGATAATTTACAGTTAGAGTCTGATTGATGAAGGTCATTTCATCTTATCAAAAAAAGTCCCACAAGACAATTGTACATAATTTTGTTGGACTTGGGGTAGTCCATCTTTTTAAGTGGCTGTCCCTCAGGACTGTTTAGTCTGAGGCTGCTTAAGGTAGAATTAGACCAAAATAAACCAGAATAAAACATCCAAAACACTTCCTTATCTCGTTCTTCTCAGATTTTCAGCATTTAAAAAAAAATACTTCAACTCATCTTGATGTGTTTGACAAAATTTGGTTTTAGCCTTGTTTCCTAAAGGAATGAAGTTTATGTGGTCATGCTATTGTATGCCTGTCTTTCTGTTAGTTGTCCTGAAAACATCAACAATAAGAAATCTTAAAGGTGTGAATCCAGAGACAGATGCAATATATGCTCAGGCTATGGAAACCGATGAAGTTTAAGGGTGTCCTTTATGAACATCGGAAAGACTCACAGGGACCAAAGCAGGTATTGCTCACCCATGGGAAAAGTCTCCGTCAGAGCTTAGCTGGACAGCAAAGTCAACCAACCACAAGATAGAAATCCATACACAACTGTGCTTCACTTATTCCAGTGCTCATGGAAAACTTTATAGAATCAAAATAAAACATTTCCAGTTGTGTTTAAGTGAAATACGTAAAAAGCCAAAACCTGGACTCATTGAAGTCAGGGTTAGGAAAAGTGAATCTGATGGCACATCTGATTGATATCAGATGTAACTCAGCAGAGCTGTGACCAGTTAGCACTTCCTAATAATTTCCTTCAGTGAAGAGCTGGCTGACACTTCAATAACAGCAAGGAGGAAACAGAACTGGCTTTGAATTAAAAGAAAAATTTGAGGTCATAGTAAAGGGGGTTTATTGCCCGAGTCAGGACAAGGATATCTTGAGAGGTAGCTGCTGTGGAGGGTTTTGAATCACTGTTCAGGAATCTCCTCACCCACAGTGAAGAGAAAACTGGATGTAGGCTTTTAGCAGACTTTATTTGGTCACAATTAGTCACTATCAGCCCTGGTGTGGTAATCCTCAAAGCAGAGGAGTACTTAGATGAGGAGACAAATGCTGCTTGCTTCATTTGCAGTCATGGTCCGGTAGTGTGCACCTCTGTCACAGATTAAATGTGATTCTCCAAGTGAGGAAGATGGGTTGAGTTTAGCCTTGACAATCTCAAGTATACATTTCAATTGTTATTAGTTAGATCATGATCTTATGGACTTTGTTTAGCCTTTCTGCGCCTCTTATATGCTAAACAATTGTGAGCTCAGTTCTCCTCTGATACCCAACTTCAATCACTATTGACTTTCATGGAAAAGCATCTCTAAAAACGAAATCCAAGTTCAGCTCTGTAAAGTTCCCATGGTTTTGTTTCTTCTGCAGGTAAGTTCAGGTGAAAGCCTAAAGTACTCCATTCACCTTACAGGAAAAGAGAAACCACAGACAGGCTTTTGCCACCATATTCCCAACAAATGTCCTAAAGCAAGACACACTGGTCGCCACTCCCTTCAAATGAAAGGCACAAACAGTTGGAAGAATGTGAAATGAAAACAGAAGATCACCAAAACAAAAGATAAAGTGACAGTAAAATAAACACATGGTGATGCTTCTTTACTACCATTACACACATGATAGATGAGTAAAATTGGGTTATGCTTATATTGTAATGGAAGAAAATAATTGCTGCCTTTTATCAGGAAACCACAAAGGCACTTATTGATCTGTCATCCTAAGGGTATGTCTAGGAATATTTAATAAAATAAACAGAGACAAATAACTCTTTTGAGGCCCTGTAACTGTAATATCCCACACCATTTGGCTTAAATTTTTTGGCAGATTTAAAAAATAACACCACATCTCAATGATTAGGGAGGATTGATGTAGCTTATTTAGATAATCTCACAGCATGGAGGAAATGTTTTTTATATTGCAAGTAGAATGTGCCTGAATATTTTCTCTAAAAGTCAGACACCAGAATCTGTTGGATTGGTTCAGTCATTTATTCCTCTGGAAATGCTATATCAAATGGCATACAGCCCTCTGCCTGGCACGAAGCCTGCTCCCATCCGTACACATTTTGTGCGAGCTTCTTTATGGGTTCTGACGTCTATGAAGAATAAACTAAGAGGGACTGGGTAATGGGCAATGTGCACTGACGCCCTTTGAAACAGGCTTAAACCACAGCAGTAAGGTGACAGGCTGCATCCACGTTCCTGTTCTGCACTTGCTGCCTGTCTGCTCAA